GTTCCCTCCCAGATGTTCCCTTTCAGCAGATATCATTGTGTTTTAAAACTTTGGATAATTATAGCTCTGTGAACGTACAGTACGAGATCTGTTGGCTCCAGCCGGCTCTGGCTCCTGGTGTAATAGCTTCATTGTTTAGTAATCGCCTATTCACAGGGCGAAGGGATCCGTGTCAGCAAAGACATCCATTCACAGCACCGCCCTGTGCTGGATCAACAGAAGCAGAAGCAGTCGACCAAGAGACCCCAAACACCGACGAGTCGCCGTGTGACCAGGGACGTTTTCCCTTCTGAAATGGAACCCATCTTCACTTTTTCTTTGGTGACAAATCCACTGGTGAAGTCCCCGGGTGGGATGCGCCCTGTGGCTGGTGTGGGAAACACGGTGCAGCTGAACCAGGAGAAAAAGATCCTGGGATGGGAGGTGGGGCGCTGGGGAGTGGTCACCCAGGGTCTCCCAGAGGAGGGAAGGAGAAATGTCTGTAAGCTAAAAACAATTCCACCTCTGGAGCACCGTGGGAGAGTGGGGGCCTCGCCATGGAGGAAGAGGTACAGAGCTGCTTAGATTCTGCGGGGGATCTTCACCAGGGAGGGTGGACCCTGTTTCCCAACTGGGATTCCAGTGACCCTCAGAGCCCAGGGGATGGCAGTGACATCAGAGCCCAGAGTCCTCCCGCTCTAGGGTCTGCCTGCTCACACGGGAACACACGCCTTTGGAAACACCTCCCCTCCCTTGCTACTGTGGCTGAGGCTCCTCGGGAAACCTACTCAGAGGACAAAAGGCTTGGGCCAAACAGAACTGATTTCCACTAACATTCAGGGTGGGCCTAAAGCCTAGCGCCACTCCCACAGCCCCTCAGCAAGCCAGCCGGCATGCACACCCCACTCCTCCACCTCCTCCCTTGCTGGCCTGGTCCTCATCCTGCAGACCCCAGAACAGCAAGCCAGAATCTTGAGAGAGAGCGGATGAGATGGAGAAAAAAAAAAAAAAAACAACACAGGATCATTTTTAAAAATAATGATGATAAATGGTGTAAGTTTATAATATCCATCAGAAGCTGAACCCGTGTGGATCCAAAGGGTGAAGATGGTAACATGTATCCACCAGAACAGGGTGCTCGTGACTGACCACTAGAAAACACCCATCAGTCTATTCTATGTCTATGTCTCTATGTGAACACACACACACACACACACACACATTATGCACAGTTATATATTTTATGTGTGTAAGCATATATATATTGAAGGGGTCATCATTTTGGCATAAAGATTGTTTTAAAGAAGAACATGTAAAAGCTTATCTAAACTTCACTTATACAGTTATTAACTCCC